TATTATCATTTCCAATTAGATTTTTCCCAAAAAAAAAAATAAATCTCGATATCTCGAAACTAAGAACAAAAGAATCGAACGATTGTGTCGCAAAATCGACGTTCATGTCGACATTTATGTGAAAAAAATTTTTTTTTTTTTGTCGTTCCGCCATTTTTAATTATTTTTATGGTGGTAAAATCATTAATTGATTATTTTTAACACGTAATTTTTTTCTTTCTCCCCCCCCCCAGATTTATTAATAAACAAAAGGAAAATTCCAGAACGTTGATTAAAACGGATAAATAAATAAAAATAAGTTGTGTTCCCGACGAGAGAGAGTTATTTTGAAATCGATAAATTTTTTTTGGGGGGGAGGAGGGGGGTCGGGAGTGTAAATACGAAAAAAAATTTTTTTTATTACCCAGTCATTCGTCACGTTTTGTTAGGTTTTTTTTTTTTTTTTTTTTTTTTTTTTTTTTTTTTAAATTAAATAAAAATTAAATAAATTTATATTTTTTTCATTTCCCCTTCCCTCCCTCTCTCTCTCGCATTTTATTATTATTATTATTCGGTAACGATAAATAAATAAATTAATTAATTAAATAATAATTAAAATTATTATTATTTTATTAACGATTTTGAAATAAATTAATAATTAAATCGACACATTTTTTTATTTTATTTCGTCGTACAAAAAAAAACAAACAAACGAACCACAAAACTTTCCCCTCCACCGTTCCTCCCCCCCTTTTTCATATTTAAATTTTCTATTTCCACGTCGTACACACGTACACTGATTAAGACCATTGACATTTTATTATTTCATAATAGAAATATTATTAACGACATTTAATAATAATAATAATAATAATAATAATAATAATAATAATAAAGTCAACGGCCATACCGTGCTGGTCACACCGGTTCCCGTACGATCACCGAAGTTAAGCAGCATCGGGCGTGGTGCAAACTTGGATGGGTGACCGTTTGAGAACGCCACGTGCCGTTGGCTTAAAAAGAGCAAAAAAAAAAAAAATGAGAACAAGACAAAGTAAGAACCAAAAACAAAAATCTTGTTCTACTGTCGACCTGAGGCAGCTCGACGAGAATGTGAATTTCACTGCTTCTGACCCTGGCCACTCCAAAGATGTTAGTCACTGGAGCCCAGTTCAGGAGACAAATCGTTCCCATCGAATAAAGATGGACTCAGGAAGACCTTCAAGAATTGATGTGGTGCTATCTTATAATAAGTGGCACCACCGAAATTCGAGTATTTGTCCCTAAGGAATCGGGTAGAAACCTCGGATAAATACTTAAAAACTCCGACAAGTAGCCTTGTCGTGTTTAATGGTGGATAATAATAATAATAATAAAATTTTCACTTTTTTTTAAAAACCATCATCATCATCATCATCATCATTATAATTGCCGTTGTTCATATTATTATTATTATTATTATTATTATTATTATTATTATTATTATTATTATTATTATTATTATTATTATTATTATTATCATCATTATAATTAAAATTTTATTAATTTTCGATTTTTTTTTTTCGCAGAATGTTATTATTAATTTTGCGGTAAATTTTATAATTTTTATCATCCTTCCCCCTTTATTCCCCTCCCTCCTCTCCCTCCCCTTTCCACTTTACCTTGAAAATTAATTATTAAATTTACCCGAATAATCTTTTCCGTTATATTATCATCATTATCATTATTAATAATATAATTGGTATTTATCATAAATTAATGATAATATTTTAGTATAATGATGATGTTAAGCTAAAATAAATAAATATATATATATATATATATATATATATATATATATATATATTGATAATGTATAAATATATAAATATATATTATGTTAAATCCGTATTAAAAACTTATTAACCTTCCTCTTCCCCCTCCCCTTCCCCCCTTCTTTCCTTCCTTTCTTCCCCTTCGTAATTAATTAAAATCATTAAAAAATAACAGAAAAAAATTTTTTTTTTTCTCTTTTTTTTGTTTGTATTAATTATTCGAAATCGAAAAATCAAACAAACAAACAAACAAACGAGATAACAAACAAGATAACCAATGAAAAAAATAAAAAACGAGAAAAATAATTTTTGACTTTATATTCCGTTTGTAATTATTTTTAATAAGTCAAAATTTTTAAGTGTAACCGCACACGCACACCCTCGTCCTCGTCCTCACACGCACACTCAGGCATACACGCACACTCTCACGCATATACGCACGTATTCACATCTCGACCGTTTTCATTTTCGATATTTTAATAAAAAAACCCGTAAAAAAAAAATAAGAAAAAAAAATGTATCTAGTTTCAATAAATTATTTATTAATAATGATAATAATAATAATAATAATAATAATATTAACGACAAGTAAATGATTGATGCAAAAAGGGATAAAATAATAATTTATCATAATTCTCGTGACGTATAATAAATAAATAAATATAAATAAATAAATAAAAACTTTTTTTTTGTAAAAAGAAAAAGTCAAATTGAAGAAGGAAACGATAGCAGAAGAAGAAGAAAACGGTAAAATACGGCCGAAATCAATAATAATAATAATAATAATAATAAATGAAATATAATTTTAAAAAAACCGGAAGCTGATGGTAATAAACAATTTTAAGTTAACATTTTTACATTCAAACATTTTTAAGTTAAACAAAGTAACAAAATTTAAATGAAAATCAATTAAACACGTTGGTCGTCATATTCTAACGGGAGGAGGAGGGGTCGAAGGTTAAAAAAATCAAAGATAGAGGTCAAAGGTTTCCGCTATTAAAATTAACAAAAAAAAAAAACCTGACTCGAAGGGCAACAAATATAAAAAAAAATAATAATAATAATCGTTTACCTAATTTATAATTTTTCAAATGTTGGCATTAATGCGTGAATAAAAATGACAAAATTAATGGAAAAAAGGAAAGGAAGAGTAAAAAAAACCTTTTTTGGAATAACGGTGGGAAACTTTCAAAAATGGCCTTTTTATTAACAAACAAAAAAAAAACAAGCAAAACGTTTTGTCCGACCTGAATGACGTCAAAGAAAAAAAAATTTTTTTTTCCCCCCTTTAGATTTTTATATTTTCCACCCACAGTTTTTTCCTCTCTTTCCCTCCCCAATCCCTCCCACCATTAATTTTTTATCCATTCTCAGCGTGATGACAAAATTATTATAAAACATACTCACAAACGAACGCGACAGGACGTAACAACAACAACAACAACAACGTAATTTATAAAATTGAAAAAAAAAAAAACTTGAAAAATATAAATATAAATCAATCAGCATGATTCTTTTAACTCTCATGGTTGTTATTAAAAACAAAATCGATAATGAAATCATACGCACAATAAAACAAACGAACAAACAACAAACAAACAAACAAAAATTTTTTTTTTCCGTGTTTTTCCAGGCAGAAATATTTACGACAATCGATACAAAACCCTCCTTTCCACCTTCCATCCTTTCTTTGTTTTTACAGACTCAAAAAGCAAAAAAAAAACCTACATACCTATCGGAAAATGGCCTCGAATCAAGGAAAAACAACAAAATGAATGGTGATGGTTGTACACGTGTGATTGCGTGAGCGTCCACGTGGTTTTAAAAACAATCGAATCGTCGTCGTCTTTCGTACCTCTTTTTAAAATCCGTCCAATGGAATTTTCCACAAAATTCAAATCAAATCCCTTTGAAAATTTGTTCCTCGTAAAATTATGAAACAAACAAAAAACAAACAAAATTAATAATAATAGTAATAATAATAATAATAATAATAATAATAATGATAATAATAATAATAATAATAATAATGATAATAATAATAATAATAATAATAATGATAATAATAATAATAATAGTACTATTAAATAAAAATTATTTATTTCTCAAAGATGATCCTAGATTAAAATAAAAGTAAATTTAAAATTTTTACACTAAATTTACATCGAGAACAAATATTATTAATAATAATAATAATAATAATAATAATCTTTCTTTTTTTCTTTTTTCTTTTTTTTTTCTTTTTCAAATTTCAAACGTTTAAAATTTTAAAATGCGAAAAAAAAAAAAAAAAAACCGAAAATTTCACGGAGGAAAAAGAAAAAAAAAAATAAAATAAATAAATAAATAATAATAATAATAATAAAAGAAATTTTTTTCTTTCATCTTTTCCTTCTTATCATTTCTTTTTTTTTTGGTTTATTATTCCTAATCATTCCAGAACGTTCCTTCTTTTTTCTATATTTTATTTTAGTTATTTTTCGTCATTTTCTAGAAGTTTCCGCCGATTTTTTCCCCCGTTTCCGTTGTATTTTTTTTTTTGGTTTTTTTTTTTTTTTTTTGTTTTTTTCTCTCACAAATAAATTCCGATTGTATACGTCGTATATTTATAATAAAAAATTTGACTGTAAAAATTGAAATTCCTTAACTACCCCACCCATACCAATCAACCAACCAACCAACCAATCAATAGAAACGTATAAATAAAAAATTATTAATTCGGGATTAAATGAGGGAGGGAGGGAGGGGGGGAAATAAAAACAAAATCGCTTTTTATTTTATTTTTTTTTTTTTTCAGGGGAGCCTCGGATATTATTTTCCAAATAAATAATTATAAAAATAAATTCTTAAAATTTTGCCTTTTATCTTATCATTATTATTATTATTATTATTATTATTATTATTATTATTATTATTTAATTAATTATCTTCATCCATCATCTCCTTTTTTTCCCTTTTTCCCTTTTTTGATAAATATTACCAACGTAACAAAAAAAAAATTATAAAATTAAATTATTATTATATATATATCGATTTCGTCAAAGCGATTTTGATTTTTTTTCCTCCCCTCCCCCTCCCACTCACATCGTAACCATTCCAAATTCTCTCTCGTTGTTTTTTTTTTTTTTTTTTTTTTTTTCCTTTTCCGTTAAAACCGTAGAGAAAAAAAAAAAGAAAAAAAAAAAAAAACCGGTTTTAAATTTCAGTTCAATACACTTTTAGTTGATTTTTATCATCAAAACCAGCCGAATGTCCAGCGTTTCTAACAATAAAACTTGCACCGTCGTAATGCATTCGCCTTTCCCCTCTCCTGACGAACAAATGAGATGTTTGACCTGTAATAAATGGGAATTTTAAAAGGACCGCTCCCCGCCCCCTCCCCCCCCGTAGGCACTTGGCGTGAAGCAAATTTATTTTTTCATATTGAGATACATTACCTAAAGATGCTGTGCAGTGCACGAACGGAGTTGTCAAGCTCGCCGTACCGTTCGACGGACTAGTACGAATTTGATATTTATTTGAATTTCGAGCAATTCTAAAAAAAATGGTCACGAATATTATTATTTTTTAATCACGTGTCATGTTCATTTTATGTATTCCCAATTCTATATACCTCAACAATCCATCAGGGGCTTGAGAAATTCTTAAATTATTTATTATCCAATTTTCGATTCCCTCATCGGTCACCCAATATTGTGCGCCTTCTAAAAGTCTTATGGCATCCTGACAAAAAAAAAAAAAATTATTATTATTATTATTATTATTATTTTTCTTTTATTCGTTTAACCGGAACCGGAAATTAAGAATATTTAAATTACGTCTATGTATTGAGATCCGTATCTTGATTCTGCATAAAACACGCTCAATGAAAAATCTTGAGTCATGTCTGTAAACGTGTCAGTGGTTGTTCTAGTTCCGGCGGTGTCGACTAAATAAACAAGAGCGCATTGTTCGCTTGTAAAGCTCACACCTTTATACCACATTTTGGCATACCTGCGAACAAAAAAAAAAAAAAGGTAAATAATAATAATGTTTGTTTAGTGAGTCTGTAACAAAGTAAACGGAATAAATTAATAATATATATACAAACTTATTGTTTCCGTGATTAATATCGTGAGCGACTATTTCGACTCTACTTCCATATTGATAGACTCGGCCGTTCGGATGCATGAGAGCCGCCGCAGAACCAGATCCGCTCAGAGCGAGCACAATGTTGTTCTAAATAATTAAAATATTCTAAAAAATGGTTTTTATTTTTTTTTCTCTCCTCCCCCATAATTTTTTTTTTTTTTTTAAATCAATTTTAATAATATTTATATATAGGTATTAATGTAAATAATTTTTTTTTTTTTACTTTGACATTGATCACTCTAATGGCTTTGTCTATCGTCATGTCAACACGAAGGCGGTCGTGTAGCCGTAAAGACATTATACCAGTTGCAGTTGCAATAGCAGCACCAGGGCTTGGCTCCGTGGCGTCAGTGATTTCACGCCATTTATCCTTATTTAATAAAAATAAAAATAAAACAAAAAAATTAATGGATGCTTTGGAGGGACGGGGGGGGGGGGGGGGGAAGAAGGCGAATTACTCACGGCGTAAATGCTAGGTGGTCCGTCTTCATTTGGAAAAAAAGGAGCAACGACGGTGGGTTTTGATCCAGCTGATCTTAATTGACGCCACCGTGAAGATGAATTCCATTGATCAGAAGACGAATGATCAAAATATTTTGTCAAATCATTATAACGCTATGACAAGAAAAAAAAAAATGAAAAAAAAAAATTAAAACTTTTTTCTTAAATTTAAAAACAACAACAACAACAACAATAATAATAATAATAATAATGATGATGATGATAGGGATAAAATAAAACTTTGATATAATTACCGAATAATTTGATTCATCGTTTTCCCCATGATAGGAATGTGCCGTATACAAACTCCTTGGACGAACGTGGTTGTTTTGAACGTGATTAGCGTCTTTACGATTATCCGTTGAAGTCATTTTTTTATTAAATATTGATTTAGTACCAAATATAATTTTTCTTATAAATGCACAATTTTTTTACCTTTTTAAAAAAATGTATGATCGAAAAAAACTTAAATTTATGGAATATTTTTTCCTTCAATATGGCTGTGGAAGATTTCAATTGTTATAGAAAACAAAAAAAATAAAAACCTTCTCAATTTTAATTTTAATTTTTCTATTGTTGATTTTAAATCTAGGAAGCTGTGACTACTTGTGTGTGTGTGTGTGTGTGTGTGTATAGTATTATTTTCGTTTGTCGTTATTCATTTGTTTTTTTTTTTTTTTTAATTTAATTTGAAATTTTTTTTTTTTAAAAGAAGTTGAGAACGTTAAAAAAGTTTTCTTTTTTCATCTTCAATTATTTTCAATTAAAATCATTAACATGTAATAAAAAAAAAAATTTATTAGTTTAATAAAAATAAATATAAAAAAAAACTTATATTAATTTATCGTAAGAATGTTTCGAATTTTACACATTGATATTTTTTTGTTTTCGATATTTTATTTCCATTATTTCTCTTGAAACACCTGTTGATGTTCAAAAAAAAAAAAAAAAAATTAAAATAACCATTTGTAATTTTAATCATAATCTAACTAATCAAAATAAAATTTAATTACCTTCATCAGTTTTCCATAAAATATTCGTTTCAAAATTATTTTTTTCAAGTTCCGATTTAAATTCAAACATGTTTCCACCTACTCCAAAATAATGAGTTTTTCCAGCTAACAAAACGATTCCATCTGACTTTAGTAATTTTTTAAATATTAATATGAGCTTGTTGTAATTGTTGCAGTTGTATATTGTTTCAGATGTTAAAATGTAATCAAACCCATCAAAATTTTTACCTGTTAATAAAATAATACTTACAATATTATATATTTTAATTATTTATCAGTACGATTTACTATAATAATTTTTTCATTCAATTTACTTGTCATTAAATTTAAAAATGAATGCCAATCTCCAGAAAAAAATTTTATGTTCTTATCATGAAGTGGACAATTAAGGTAAACATTTGGTATTGTCATTAATTCTAAAACTTCTTTGTTCTGAAAAAATAAGAATTTTTTTTCCAATAAGAAAATGCATATGGGTTGAGGTAATCAAATTGTTATCGTCAACTTACATAATCTTGAAATGTAACACTGGCACCCATTTTGGCACACATAATTCCCAAAATACCAGAACCACAACCCAAATCTAATATTGATTTATTAGTTAAATCACATTTATTATCAGAAATATAATTATTTAAATAAATGGCTAAATCTTTTGTACATTCCCAAATTTTTAATCCACCTTCGTACTTTCCAGGTAATAAGTCAGAATGTTGTTTGTCAGCTTCCAATACATCGATTAATTCATTATCACCTGTAAACTTAAGTTAATAACAACATAAGTTTACATAAGTTTAATTTTAAATGAGAAAAAAACAAGTTTTATTACAAACCTGACTGATTTCTTAACAGGTTCATAACCTCACTTGGTGAGATCAATGAAAATGTTAAACCATCTCCCCAATTGATTATTTTTAATTCATCTTTAGGTATATCATTAATTATACTTTCAATATTTGACGGTACACTTATTTCAAAGCTTTCATACCACTCAACATTATCATCATCACCATCACTCTCCTTTTTATCTTTAACGGAAATAATTATTTAAAATCTCGTATTTAAAAACTTTTTCCTTAAAAAAAAATATATTAAAATACGAAAATACTAACCGGTAGATACTTTAGAATCCGATTCACTATCATTAAAATTAAATTTAAACATATTTTAACGGAAATTTTTTATTAAATCAAACTTATTATTAAATTTTTCAAAACCCTTACAGTAAAACTTTATAGCCTTTCGCTAACAAGTATTTGAATAACGAGCGCTACCAACTTCAGAAAAAAAAAAAAAATTGTAATTTGGCAACAAAGTGAAAGTTGCGTGTGTATATAAAAACCGTTACAAAAAATAAAACTTAATGTCTTTTAAAACGTATAATCAAACTTTTCTTTTTCTTTTTTTTTTTGAAAGGAAGGATTTAATGGAGTAAAATTAAATAAATAATAATAGACTTCATTTAAAATAATAATTTATATATAAAAAAAAAAAAAAACAACATTTTATTCAAAACTCTAAAAATTAATAACATTTATATAAACACTGAGCAATAATTTTTTTTAAAAATTATATATTACAATAAAAATAATAATAATAATAATTAATGGGAAATGAATAACAATTACATATATATATATATAATATAAATACTATTTTCCGTTCATTTTTTGCGAATCTATTAAATTTCCCGATAGGGCGAGAAGTTTATATCGGAGTTTTTTATTTTTAGCACGAATGTGAGAAGAAGACACTTCTTGAGTATGATTTTGGGGAAACCAACCTCGAGCACCGTCTCTCAATCTTTCTCCTTGGTACCACCCTACATATAGGCAACGAAAAAGAAACGTTACATTAGGGAGCCAGCCATCACGCAATCGAGGGATGACGACACCGTCACGCGGTCATTTTTTTTTTTTTTTTAACTTACCGTCGCTCATTTTTTTCAATACGTTCACGACGTCACCTATGCACAAATTCAATTCGTCCGGTTGAACCGGAGTGAATTCGTACAAGGCTATCACTTGAGGACAATCCCATTCTTCGTAAATGCATTCGTTTGGATTTTCCGATGATTTCGGCGTGACTGCTTCCAACCACCTTTGCTTATCCGATTCCATTTCAAATGATAATATCTGAAAAGGGATACAACAAATTAATAATAATAATAATAATTCATTTCGTTTAAATATGATTGATTTCCCCTTTCCCCTTCCCCCTCCCTTACCATTTCGACAGTCTTTTTCTCGTGATTTTCCAACATTGTGAGCAACATTAACAATTTACCGCTCGAGTCGGAATTTGAATTTAATTTAACCGGAAGTTGTGTTAATCCATCGGTGGTTTGCATTTGAACTAAATTTCTCGGACAATGATCCACGACCACGTAATTACGAGGACTGAAATTTTAAATTCACATAAAAATCAATCAATCAATTAAAAAAAAAAAAAAAACCGAGCGGTCCATTTCACCGCCATCATAATCGCCATCGTCATCACGTGATCCTTACTTTTTCTTTTTGGCCACGATGAGTAAATCCGTGAACAAAAACAAAGTCAATGTGATTTTTGAAAATTTTTTACCAAACGTGAGCTTGTTTTCGTCACGATTAACCAACTGCGTCACTTGTCCACTTTTTACCAAAAATCTAGACCCCGTTATTATGGGTATACGTCGTATGTCTTTTGGAAATTCTATCTGTTGACTCAATATAAGCATTTCTTCACATTTTTCCATTCTTCTCGCTTCGTCGTCGCAGTCTTGAACTATCTGGAATTTGGAAAAGAAAAAGTGACGTCATTGCCATCATCATCACACCATAACAAAAATTCTCCTTTTCGTGATTCTTCTTCTTTGATTCGAGAGAAAGAAATATTTACGTGAGCGTACGTGCGTTCGTGCGTGCGTGTGCGTAATTAAATTCAATTTCGCGTAAAAAAATGAAAAAAAATGTCGAAACGAAATTTATTCAAACGTAAAATACGTACAAGGAAGGTGGAAGACCTTGGATTTATTCTATCTATAATTAAAATTACCTTTGTTAAAAAAAAAAAAAGTTTTCGTAGAAAATCGGACGCGATATATATTAAAAAACAACTTGAAGGTTCACATTTAATTCGTCGGAGAAAATAATGACGTCATTTAATAATTCCCGATTAATCAATCGATCAATATTAATTGATTAATTAATTATTTCATTGTTTTTTTTTTTTTGAAAAGAAACAACACGAATTGATTGACACGAGGAAATCACGACGAATTACGCGAATTCATCATCATCATTATTATTATCATTTTAAATAATTTTTTTTTTATGACTTCGTGACGTAATTACGAATGCGAAATCGTAATCTGGGTCAAAATGCATGCCAGCAAGCAAGCAAGCAAGGAAATAAGCAAAAAAAAGGGGGGGGCGAATGGAAAAACAAGTTCGAATTTCTCGGAGGGGAAAAAAAACCAGTACGAGGGGAGTGGGGGGGAGCGGGGAAACGAAATCAAAAAAAAAAAAAAAAGCAGAAGAAGAAATCTTTTTCTCGTTTTCTTTTGATTAAATCGACAGAGGAAAATAGAGATACTCGTCGTGACGTCACGAACTGTTTTTTTTTTAATAAAAAAAAAAAAATAGAAAATGACGAACTCACCTTATTAAGTACATCGAAACTCGCTTTGCAAACTTCAAACTCGTCATCGTCTTTGTCCATTCTTGCCAAAACTGCACCCATTAACAAAGGCAACCTCGTGATTCTTTGCATTGGCAACATTAAAAAAGAATGAATGTTAAGGTTTTGACAAATGGGATCGCTTTCGATTTCTTTTAGAGCATTTTCGAAATTCCAATTTTTATCCAGGAGTTCTCTCAACGTCCTGTATATGCAAACTTGATTTTTGCAATATTTCGTGTACACTTGAAAACTCGTCGTCGAATGCTTATACACAATATCACATATACCGTTTAACATAATATTATTTTGCCAACAATTTTCTAAATCTTCCAAAAAACTTTCGGAACATTTTTTCACGGACACGATGTTGCTGAACAATATTCGAAAATCCCTTTTCGTTATTATGTTCAAATCGTTGACTTTTTTCATGAAATGATTTTCTAAAACGTTCAAACTGTTCATGTAACTCCCCTCGGAAGTGATTATTTCAAATTTGGCTTCTTGTAATTTTCTCGCTTGATCCGAAAGGGTTTGCAATATGCAACTATCTATCACAGCCGGTATTTGACACCACAGAGTCCTACGATCCGATATGGATCTCAACGAAGAAATCTTCGTATTCACATCCTCGTTGAAATCTTCGAAATTCGGTCTCACGTTTTTTATATCAATGGTTCTCCTTTTCTCGTTGATCACAGAATAATAATCGTTTATTTCTTCGTAGCCTTCCGAATCGTAATTATTGAGTATGTCGTCTCTCGCTCTTTGATTCACGCATTCGGTGTAAAATTGATACAGGGGCTCGTCGACGAACATTTGAGTTTTCCTGCTGTTTAATTCGTCGTTGGCCGCGTACAAACCGATTTCCGCGTATAACGAAGTGTCCGAATCGGAACACCTTGAATGTTTCTTTTGTTTGTCGAAAAGACCGCTTTCGACATACAGGCAATTGTTTGTCGCTTTTTCCCCCCACAATATATCCGAGTACTTTGTTTTCTCAGGTGCGACGGAATCGGGTTTACTAGACGGAGGTGGCGGCGGCGGAACGGTCGGACGGAATTTCGTCAATGTTGACACGGAATCCGAATGTCGCATTATATCTTTATCCGTTACACTTTCCGACGAGTTACTGTTCCGTTTCGAAATCGCACTTTGTATTTCATTTAACAAATCGTTTTTTTTTTCAACAACTTTTTTAGGTTTAACTTCGTTCAATGATAAATAAAACGTGCTGTTTCTATTCGCGTCTATTCCTCCATTCGCATCCGACACGTCGTTAGAACTATTTTTAAATTTACTACGAAATGTCCACGATTTTCTATGCCTTTGATTTTTCGATTCGATTGCATTATTGATTGATTTATTTACATTATGTGAACTACTAGATGAATCAGAATTATTCGAATAAATAGAATTGCTAAGATTTGGTGGTGTCGAAGGACTTTCAGATGGTTTTTGATTCCCAGCCTCAACTTCAACTTCTTTTCCAATTCCCAAATTTGGATTCGATGATTCAGTTGTTAAATCTACAACTTTTCCCCTCGATGACTTTTTGAATCTTTTCAAACTTTTACTCAGATCGCTTTTCCTCAGTGAAAAATTTTTCCTTAATTTTTTCCCAGCTGCTCTCAGGGATTTTGTTATATTATAACCTTGATTTGGAATGTCTGGAAGTTTAGTATCGACATAAGCTTCATCCTCGGAACTTTGAGAATCAAAATCATCTATGAATTGTTCATCGTTGTTGTTGTAATGATCTTTATCGACATAGTTGTTGTCCTGTATTCCCCCTTGACTTGATCTAGCATTTTCTTGAATGATTTCAGCATTTTCATAATGCCCAACACTTTCGTAAAAGTGATCCTCAGAATCTTGTAGTTTGATCTCTTCTGAAAATAATAATAATAATAATAATAAAAATTAATCATCCCATCGTTATTATTATTTTTAATAAAAATAAATATTAGTTTATTGTTAATTTAATCGTTCACCATACAATGAAAAACAAACCTTCCAAAAAAAGAGTGTTCTCCTGACACTCCCTCTTATCTGTTTTATATAACAATACTCTAATTGTTGGCGATGGTTTGTGTTTTTTTCTCAAAGCAGGTCTTGGAATTGAAAAAACAATTTTTAATTTATCCCCATCATCATCAGTATAATTTTTAGCTGCATGCAAACTAATTAATTTATTTTCAATATCTCCTAAATATATAATCGAATGTGATGATATAAATATAATATCACCAATATGTGGCCTTTTTCTAAATGTCGATTCACGTGATGATTGACTACATATAGAAGGATTTGATGCTTCTTCGTAAAATAAAGACCCCTCGGAATTTCCCAATTTCATTTCTGTTCATTTTAAAATGTATAATAACGACAATTTTACCATTTGTAAAAAAAAAAAAAAAAAAACCCCTCCCCGCACTACTAATATAACACACCTAAAGGAATTCACTTGGTTGGTAATTATCAAGGCCGATATTTTTTTGTTAAAAAGAATTCGTTTGAAAAGTAATCACTCCGGCACAAAAACAAATTATTATATGTGTGAAATTGATCGTTTCGTATTTGTGTTAATAATTATTTATAAAATAAATTCCCAACGAAAATTTGACAGTAATAATAATAATAATAAATAGACCATGGCCATTTTCTATGACATAATTTAAAAAAATTCAAATCAAAGAGTTACTCCCACTAAAATTACCACTTTCTTATTACCGTCCTCGAAAAAAATAAAATAAAATAAATAAAAACTTTTTAATTTGTTTAAAAACCTTTAAAAACAATTCGAATCGATTTAATAATTTACTTCGATAAAAACAAATGACAGTAAAAAAAAATAATAATAATAAAAAACGTTCAATTCATCGTTTAAACTCGTACGACTACGTGAAATCATAATTCAAAAAAAAAAAAAAAACACAAACCACTTTTACCACTTCTCTATTCCACACACAGCCATCTTGAAATAAAACATTTCAAGTGTTGCCAACTGTGGCCATAAAACAAAACATTACCGGGATTACGTCACGGATTCGACTTCCATATTTAAATTTGTATAGAATATTATTATAATTTTTTTAATAACCGTTAATTTTTTTTTTTTTTTTATTTAGCATTGAAAAGAATGGAGGAAAAAATTAATGAAAAAAAAAAAGTTATTTAATTGTTATTCAGGAAGTTAAGCGACGTGTGAATAATTAAATATTTACCTTTTTAATTAATACAATAATTATTTTTAAATTCGAGAGAGAGAGAGAGAGAGAAAAACCGTTTTCATTCTTTTCAAATCGAATTCCCTACCATTTTAAAAAAAAAAAAAAAAAAAAAAAAACCTTAATAAATGATCGAATATTTGCGGTCTATCAAAAAAATAAAATAATAAAATCTTAAAAAAAGACAGAGCAAAAGTTAGAGAGAGAGAGAGAGAGAGAGAACGACACGATATTTTTTAAATGCAATTAGACATGGATGAGTTGTTGGTAAATTTTTTTTTTTTACTTCTTTATCTCTCTCTCTCTCTCTTTTTTTTTTTATAATTTGATTTTAAAAGTGAAATAACTAATTATTATTATTATTATTATTATTATTATTCGAAACCGTGAAAAAAAAAAAAAATTAATTATAAAATATAATATATATGTCAGTAGTAGTATGATGTATGTACTTTCTATTTTACTTTTTACTTTTTTTTTTTTCTTTTAAATTTAATGCGAAAATCTAATAATAATAATAATAATAACAATGGATATTGGTTGGTTCGATGGGAACCAAACAAAACATTTTTCTTATAAAAAACAAAAACAAAACATTTCGTTTGTTTTTATTTTTTAACTTTCAAACAAAAAAAAAAAAAAAAGAAAGAAAATAGTTTGTTTGTTTGTTTATTTACCTTGGTTAAAATTTGATTTCCTTTGTAATTTTTTCCATTTTTTTCTATCCTTTTGATACCATGAATTATTACCGATTTTACATTTTCTCGGACGTTCTTGCATTCTGTGTGGGGAAAAAAAAAAAAAAAAAAAAATTTTAATAAAACGAACTCCCCCCTCCCCGTCCCATTATAGTCTCCCATTTTTATTTTCATCAATTTAAATCAATTAAAATTGAATAAATTAATTCTTACAGATAATATGTTTCTTCGGATTCGGATTCGGAGACTTCGATCCATTCGTCGCTGTTGCTCTGACTTGTTTCGCTGTTGGGACAAGCGGAACCGAACAACGTCATGTGATATCCGGAATTTTCCGGGCAATTGTTTAAATCTCCCATACCTGTAAGTTAATAAGTGAAAACATAATCCTACTCGTCGGATCATTGACGTTCTCCTTTCCAAAATAATAATAATAATAATATTAATAGGATTTACTATTATTAATAATTTTTTTTAAAAAAAAAAAAAAAAATTAAAAAACAATAAAAACCTGCAGGCAAACAAACGAACCTGATTTTTTTTTCTTTTTAATCATCATCATCATCATTATTATTATTATTATTATTATTGTAATAAATTTAAAACCTTAAACGGTAAAAAATTATTTATTTTGTTTTGTTTTGTTTTCGTTATTCATTTCCTCTTTTTTTTTTTCGTTAATCGATAATCGATCGATGATTCAAAAAAAAATAAAAAAAAAAATCAAATAAAATTTATTTAAAAAATAATAATAATAATAATAATTCGATCTTTTCCTGCAGGAACTTTTTTTTTTTTTTTCGAAAAATAAATGACTAATATTATTATTATTATTATTATGACTAAACGCCACGGTAAAACAATTCAATTAATTTCTAAAAAAAAACCTGAAATTTTTTTTTTCTAGAAAGAAACTTTTTCCTTACGTCACTCACTTAATTAATTAATTATTATTATTATTTACTTACTTAAACGATGATCGGGTGTCGTCGTTCTAATTCCTCCTCCTCCTCCTCCTGCTGCTGTTGTTGCATTTCCACCTGACATTCCATATAAACTGTTACTTTTTTCGTATGAGCTCCCGGTTTTCCCACTATTGTTACTCGTATCCGATAAATCGCTTTTTATGTATCCCTCGTGACTTTCATTATTATTATTATGATTGGTTGAATATATACCATTGTATACGGATTCGTAACAATTATTAATGAAATCATCATTATTATCGGTATTAATCGTATAACAATTATTAATATCTTCGTAAATGTCTTTAGTTTTGTCTTTTGTATTAATCGACTTTGTCGTTGTCGTTGTTGTTGTTGTTGTTGTTGTGCTTTTGATGGATTGTATATCCTCGTAGATATTCCCGTCCTCTTTATTGTTTTCTATGTACTGATATAATTCTAATTCATTTTCATTTTTTATAATTTCGTTTATGTCCGATATGTACTGATAATTTTCACCTTCTCCATCGTCGTACAAATACAACATGCCATTTTTCTTATTATTATTATCATAAACCGACATTTTGTTCAATTTATTTTTTTCAATTACATCATTTTGAATTATTTTTTCGTTACCGTACGTGTTGTTTGTTTTGTTTTTGTTGTTGTTTGTCCAATACGGTTCTCCCACATCGTCATACGTTTCTTCGTTTTCGTATTCGTTGTCGTTCTCGTCCTCGTCCTCGTCCTCGCCGTTTATTTTTTCAAATTTTTCTTTTTTTTCTCCCTTGTCGGTTTTTTTCGGTAGTAAAACATCATCGTATAAAGCATATTCGTTTTCGTTAAAAAAAGTAGGAACGTAATTTTCCGGCGGAACCGGAAGCGGTAAATCTAACCTATTGATCATCTGAGGTTTTTCAACGTAGATTTCAACGCCATCTTTTTTAGACCATAGAAAAGATGAATTAGGTATGCGGTTCTGTTGATGAACATTTTCAAAATCTTCTCCTTTCGTTTTGTTTTTTTCCTGCTTTTCCTCGTCTTCCGTCAAATTTATTTCACTCGTTGTTACCATCGTTAAATTGGATCCCCTAATTTGTTTGTGCAAAGATGAATCGTTTGTATATTTTTTATTCCCCTCGTCCGACACAACGACGACGGATTTATCATTGATCGAATGACCTCCATCCACCGATTCGATTCCTTCGTCGTTTTCTTTTTCCGAATTCGATTGATCTCCTCCCCCTCCATCATCATCGTCGTCCATTTTTAAATCGTTTTCCTCTCCTCTTCCAACCGATTCTCTTTTCATTTGAACGTATCTTTTTCTATTTAACGAATCGTTGGGTAACAATTTCGTTTTTCTCGTAGTTTTAGAATCAGGTTTTTTGAGTATGGGTTTTATTGCAGCCACGGGTTTGGATTTGATTTCGAAAACTTGTTCTTTCCCCTGATCGTCGTCATCGGCGAACGTTTTCGACGCGGGTCGGCTTAGTTTTTCACTAACGTAGTTTTTCTCTGAGTAAAAATTATTTTTAGAATTTTTTTCGAATAAACAAATGGCAGTTCTCACGCTAAATGAATTTTCCGAATTTTTAACAATTTCCGCGTTTTGGATTCCTTCGCTTTCACTTTTTTTTATATTTTTATTATGATTAACTACGCAATTGTTGTTGTCCCCGTCGAGATCTATATCGACTAAAACTTTTGGCACTTGCATTTTCATAGTTCTCGATGTATTATTATTATTATTATTATTAACATTTAAAACTCGTTTCGAATTATTTATTTCCTTTTTTTTTTTATCTTCGAATTCTGTTATTTTATCGTGTACGCTCGTAGAACGAACACGTGATGACGGAACGTTTTCGAACGTGGCACGAGTGTTTTTCTCTTGAAATCTTTTAAAACTTATTTTACGGGTTAATAAAACATCATCGCTCGACCTGTTGTGTTTCGACGACGCACCGCTCGGTTTCCTACAAATGACAACTTTTATCGTATGATTCGATTTTCCACTTCCGCTCAGTAGATTTTTAACGGCCGACGAACTCAATTTCGATTTCGTACCGTCTTCCAATTGTGCCAATTCGTTAAATTTAAACGTTAAAGCTTGAACCGTGGAAAGGGGAACCACGACCTTTCTCGATATCCTTTGTGAAGCCGCCCTGTTCGGCGTGGAACATTTAAAACTTGCTTTTCGAACAACAACGTTTTCGTTCACCATTTTTTTCGGTATCGTGTAAGTGACACTTTTCGATGATTTCGCCTCCGACGAAGTCATAACTGATTTCAAATATATTCAAATAAATATTCATTTATCTTTTCCTTTTCATTTTTATACCTGAAAATAATAAAATAATTATTATTATTACAACAAAGCCTCCACATCACACGTAATAATAATAATAATAATAATAATAAATAAATAAATCGATTAAATTTTTTTAATAATAAATATCCGGAAATTGCGTGTGCGATTTATGATAACAATATTTATTTATTTGTTTTTGTTTTTTCAAAAAACAAAAAAAAAAAACTCGGAAAATATTTATTTTCCCACAAGAAAATAAACAAACGACAAATCACAACAACAACAACAACGACAAACTCAAGTTAATTTTATGGATATTTTTCAATGGCCGAATTCCAAATCGAACATCAATCCATTATTATATTGATTCTACCTCCTGTCAACGACAACATTGTCTTTTCCTTTTTTTTGTCAACAGGAGAGGTTATTCACTTTGTGAGAAAAATATTTAAAAACAAAAAAACTACCTAAATAATAATAATAATTGTGGTTTAGCCGAAAGAAATATTGTTTACAAAAACCGTTCGTTTCATATATATATAAATATATAAATAATAATAAAACCTGATTTTTTTTTTTTCTATTAAAATCATTATTACATTAATGTGGTATATATATACCACATTTCTGGCACACAATTCCAAAAAAAAAAAAAAAAAATACAACGCTATCTATTCAATAATTCTTTATTATTCATTCCCATTTTCTTATTATCTATTTATTATTATTATTATTATTATTATTATCTTTTCTATGAAACGTTAGAAAATATAATATTTCCCTTTCTACCCCATATTATTATTATTTTTATTATCTAACGCGTGCAAAAATAAGGTCGTCGATGTTATTATTATTATTATTATTATTACCGAAAAAAAAAATAAAAAAAACTAAGAGCCTGTACCTCGAAAACATTTCGAAAATAATAATAATAATTTTTTTTTAACGTATTTTTTTTTAGATGAACGTCGATCGTTTCCGGTAATTAAATTTATCAAAAAGAAAAATTTTAATTAATTAATTAGTTATTTTTCAATGAGAGATTGAAAATAATATTAACCAGATTTCAACGAAATCCATTTTAAAAATTTTTCATTTTTAAATAAAAAAAAAATTAATCGAATCGAAACCATATTTTCGATCACGTTCGATTTATTGATTTTTTTTTTTTTTTTTTTATTTGAGTCATTGTGAGTTTTCATTGTAAACCCAGAGAGAAATTTTTTTTTTCGTGCTTTGCCGTTCGTGTATTTTTAAAGGGAGAGACGTTCGCGCGAGTTTAATCTTCAGCTTCAACCCTCTCCAGTTTCAGGATCTCATACCTTTCCCCAATGCTTCGAATAGGTACTAGATCCTCTTTTACCCTTATTAATAATCTCTCAGTACTACCGAAACTAAACTCTCGCGTCTCAGAATTTCAAAAAACCTCTCTTCCCAGTTAACCTGGAGACCTGAATGAACCCATAGGCATCCATATTGAAAGTCAACAACCCCTAGCAGACGCCTTAAAACATCCTCCGTACCCAACCTCCGAGTAGTTTAATTACAGAAATACGCGGCCGCCACCGCCACCACCCACTCAAAAAAACAAAACTCAACATCGGCCATTTTCCTTATTTTCTATTAAAATTATTATTTTAAAAAATTAACCGTTAAATAATAATAATAATAATAATAATAATAATAGTAATAATAATAATATTAAACGTTTCAAACGATACAAAACTCAAAAGTTTTCTTTTTCTAAAACATAAAATAATTCGAAATATTAACGAATGAATGAAGTTTTTATAGAGAACAACAACACGAGATTAAGAAAAAAAAAAAACCTTAAATTCGTTCTACTTTCGAACGTGAACGTTTCATAAAATAAATAATAATAATGATAATGATAATGATAATAATTTTTTATAACCGGGTCGTTCTTTATACGATTTCAAACGTCGAAAAAAAAAAAAAATTAAATTAAATTTCTAGTGAAACAAACGTTGCAGGTGGTTGTAGTAAATCGATTTCGAATAATTACAATTGATTGATCATACGATTTATCGAATCTTTTTAAATTCGTTATTAATATCATTATTATCTATTTACTTAACGGAAATTTTAATAATAATAATAATAATAATAATAAAGTACATTAGATTCTTTTTACCGAAAAAAAAAACTATTTAAAAAGAGTGATTATATTGTGTGCCTGACATCTTTTGACCTAAATCCATTTCAAATAATAATAATAATAATAATAATAATAATAATAATAATAATAATAACGAGTGAGATGTACGGTAGAAGTCATTATTATTATTATTATTATCATTCCCACAGGAATTCGAAACATTTTAATTGAACTTATACGGTAAGAACCCCCATTTTTTTTTTTTCTTATTCGAGAATTTCTTTGTGTTTTGTTTTGTGACGTCACGTCCGTCGTGTCAATAGATCATCATCATCATCTGGAGATTCCAAATGACTTTCTCTGGAAACTTTTTTGTTTTTATCATCGAGGAAATAAGTATTAGAATTAGAAATTTTTTTAAAATGATTATTATTATTCTGGTTTTTGTTTGTTGCAATGAATCATTCCTAACCATTCTCGGTTACGTGAAAATAAAAACTATAAATTATATTATTTATTTTTTTATTAAGTCATTCGGTTTTTCATTCACTCACTCATTCATTCATTCATTCATTCATTCATTCATTCATTCATTCATTCAAACTTTACCTGAAACTTTTCATCTTAGAACAAAAAGATCAAAAAAAAAAAAAAACAAAATTGACGACGCGATATTAAAATACCAAACAACCAATAATTTGAAATATATAATTTTTTACAATTTTAAAACAACCAATTCGGTTAAATTTTTTCTCTCTCGAACAAACATTAACCAAACAACAACAAAAACATTCTTGCAAGTAAACAAAACAAAAATTTTTTTATCGATAGATTTTTGTTTTCCTTTTTTTGACGTTTTATTAATAAAATTTTTTTACTTTATTTAATCAATCATTGCGACAAACAAACAAACAAACAAACGATTAAAAAAAAAATAATAAAAAAAAAATCGTCGGAGGATTAAAAAAATAACGACAACAACAACAACAAACTTAATGTTATTAATTACACGAGCGTAAATGCACGCGCGATCGTATTCAATCCGTACAAACAAAACGTAGGCGTTTGTTTGTTCGGTTATATTTAAAAAAAAATTATCCGCTTTTTAATAAAAAAATAATAATTTCCTGACCCTGAGCAGTGACAGTGACTTACTCACACTTTAGAAAGTAGCCAAACCGTAAAATTTATCATTAAATTAATTTTATCATTATTATCATTATCATTATTATTATTATTAATAAAGATACAAGCTCGCTTGCGCACGCACGCACGCACGCACGCACATACGATGCCTTACAAACAAACAAACAAACAAAACATTTACTACGCCGTGGATCATCGTCGACTCACTTCTATGAAATTCAATCGTCCGATTATTAAATAAACAAACAAACAAACAAACAAACACCAACCTTCTCTTATTTTATTGATATAAAAATACAAACTTCCTTTACGCCCAATTCGAAAAATCAAACATTTTTTCTCTTTTAAATAATCTCACATAAATTATTTTTGTTTTTTTGTTTCGACAACAACAGCAACAACAACAAACAAACGAACGCGTAACCTTTTCCATTTAAAAACCGTTAAAATTATTATTATTATTATTATTATTATTATTATTATTAGGATTTTAAACAAAGAAATCAAAATGATATGGTGACATTGTCACCCTTGCAATCGGATCGTGCACTTGGGTGAGGTTAACTATCTAATCATCACGACAAAGAGATCGTTGACACCAACAACCATTGTTTTTACCATTCGCAATTAAAAAAAAAAACTAATATATTATTATTATTATTATTAATCTATTTACATTGTTATTAATTATGTTATTATTATCATTAACAACAACAACAACCACGACAACAACAGTCGAATAAATAAGTTGGAAGGAAAGATACGAAAACCCGAACATCAACCTGGAAAAATTTATAACACGACAAACAAACAACCGAAAAAAAAAATTACTTATGAAAATTTACTAACAAACGGGGAGGGAAGGAAGGTGGAAAGGGGAGGGGAGGGAAATACGCGCGTAAATTCCTTTAAAAATTTAAGCGCATTCTAACGAGGCCTAAGACAAGACAAGACAAGTTTAAAAAAAAATTCGGTAATTTTACTCCTACCGTAAACAAACAAACGACAACGTTGTTTGTATGATTCACTTCGGTTGTTGAATTAACATTTAAAGAAGGTTCAACCTGTTTAGTATTCAATATGAGACGTCGAAAAAAAAAAAAATTGATGCCCTCAACGGTGTCGTCGTCGTCGTCGTCGTCGCATTGCTAAATTCTTATTTTATACCCGAGGACAGTTATTCTTCTTCTTCTACGACGAGGATTATTATTATTATTATTACGTATGCGACACGTGCATTTTCGAATAATAATATTTAATTTCGAGGACGTCAAGAATAATCTCGATCGTCTCGAAAATTTTTTTAAAAAAATTAAACCTTCATTGTCTTTTCGAAAAATAATAATAATAATTTTAAATCCCTCACTCTTCCCTCGTCCCTACCCCCACGCCCTCCCACGATGCCAACCAAATCAATAATAATCGATACTTTGTTTTACTTTTATTGTACGTGTCATCATTGTATTCGTACGCGTAATAAAACAACACGTAAAAAAAATAGTTCCGCCATGTTTATTTACTTTTTTTTTTTTTTAATCGAATCGAACGAGATTTTGTCGATCACGAATCGATATCAAAATATTTTAAATCCTTATTAATTTTTTGAAAGGGTAAAAAACGATAACGCGACGACGACAACAACAACAAAAATTAAAGATTAAAAAAAACCGGAAAAAACAATCGACGAACAACACAACAATCGGCA